ACCCTGGACAGCACCCTGGGTTGCGGTTACCGCAGATGAGGCCAGGGCGTGTGACGAAAGTGCAAAGTTGCACTTTAAAGTATGCATATTTGTTATCTGTTGCAGAAATCTGTGCCTAAGAGTCAGGACAATGATTCTGGTGCTCAAATGGCGCGTCCGAGGAGTGGTTGACTACGATATTCAGGAGTCACTTATTCGCCAGACAACCTGTCAAGTTTGGCTGCAAGATCAGCACGGCGGACAGTTTGGGGTGGCTGCGATAAACTGACACGAATTTTTCACAGAGAACGAATGATCTTGATGCTGTGCTGTACACGGGTGAGCATGCGTTCGTCCACAAAGCATTATCGCTGTGATAATGGCTAACGACATCGTCACAGAGCCAATACTCTAGGTAGAATCCAGGAACTTGTTCAAATTACGGTCTGGACTTTTGATTAACAATTATTCAAAGTGTTCGTGTTTAAAGTTATGTAGAAGAGTCCTGATAAAAAGAACGTACGAAGGTAGACTACTCCAAACCAAAGTAGCGCAATTCACAGGCGGGATGACATGCAATTGACATACCTTGTCGTTAATTCGGACGGTGACCGTACCATGAGCCTCTCCATTGCGATTGAGCATTCGAATGTTTTCCTGAGTAAACATCTCGATCATCTGTTCAGGGGTGGCCGTTGTGGCAAGGTCTACATCCTTGGGGTCGACTGACATAAGAACATCCCTGACGGCGCCTCCGGCAACACGTACTTGGAAACCATGTTTTTCGAACAGTTTATTCAGGAAAATGAACTCCGGTTCACGGAAGGCAGAAACATGGGACAGGTCTAGCGAATTATCTGCTTCCACTTTGAGCATTTTTCTTGTCGTCTTTGGGGGTGACGAAGTCGCCCATATGTTTTCTGGCATTGCAATTAAAGAGAAATGAGATGAGTATACCCGAAAAAAGGATGAGCCTAACGCCTCGACGGTTGAATAAAGTGAAATTCCGCAGCATAACAGTCTCAAGGACTGCAGGAGCCCTCACAGCTCAATAGCTGCTAACGTGATCTATGAGGAATAAAAAGAAAAACGACCACTAAAACCGAGAATCGATGTTTTGAAAACCTATGGGTATTTTATGAATGACGTTCGGATTTGCTAGATTTGACTAGTCAGCTTTCTGGCACAGCAGTTATCTTTGCGGTCATACTTCGACCTGGAAACTAAATAAAAATAGGAAAGATAAACGAAATTGAAGTAAATATTTAAAAGCGGTTGGCGACAGCACACAGGCAGTAATAAGATATAAGCATGCAACTTTAACTTCCCTTTATTGCGCATGGACTGCTAAGAATACGCATGTACATGTCATACAACGAAGACATCCGCTGTC